GAGCCACACAGCTGCTCGAGTCCATGACCAAATCGCCCTGCCTCACACGAGCCGCTCACATCACATGCACCACGTCCCCGATCCCACCTACCCCCGACTCCCCCCTACACCACTTTCTTGCTGCACACTCTCTACCTCTCCAGGCAAGCCCGTGGTGGCAGCGACGTAGATGCTCGAGTCCATGACCAAGTCCCTGCGCCCCATGCGAGCCACTCATATGCACCACCTCACGTCCCCACTCTTCCCAACCCCCTCTCCCCAACCCACTCTCTCCCCTCGTCTCCAGGCAAGCCGGTGGTGACGGCCACACAGATGCTTGAATCCATGACCAAGTCCCCCCGCCCCACGCGTGCGGAGGCGACGGACGTGGCGAATGCAGTGCTGGACGGCACCGACGCCGTCATGCTGTCGGGGGAGACGGCCGCGGGGTCATGGCCCGTGGAGGCCGTCACCGTGATGGCACGCATCTGCCGGGAGGCAGAGGCGTCGCTGGACTACCACTCCATCTTCAAGACCATCATGGCCGAGGCTGCCATGCCCATGAGCCCCCTGGAGAGTCTGGCGTCTTCTGCTGTGCGCACCGCCAATAAGGTGAGCCGTGTTTCATGTTGTGTTGTTCAGGCGCCTTAAAAAGGGTGTGTGGGCAGTGGAGGCGGTGAGGCAGAGGCATCGCTGGACTACCACTCCATCTTCAAGACCATCATGGGCTGAAGCTCCCATGCCCATGAGCCCGCTGGAGAGTCTCGCTTCGTCCGCTGTGCGCACTGCCAACAAGGTGAATTGTATTCCCTGCTTTTCCCCGCCCGTCAAATGCCACTATCCTCCTATTCCTTTCCACCCTCCCTTTTTTTTGCCTTCTCCCTTCCAGATCCTCCCCCTGCTCCCCTTCCCCCCCTTCTACCTCCCCCTGTTCCCTGAGATTTTATACTCTGCTCTGTTATGTCAAGTGCCAATTTGTGACTCACTTCGAAAACACACTATTCTCCACCCACTTCACCATCATCCCCAACCCATGCAACCGTTCCCCCAGGCGCGTGCGGTGCTGATCATTGTGCTCACCAGGGGAGGCTCCACCGCCAAGCTAGTGGCCAAGTACCGCCCGCCCATGCCCATCCTCTCTGTAGCCGTCCCCGTTATGACGTCGGACGACCTCACGTGGTCCATTAGTGACGAGTCTCCTGCTAGGCACGCGCTTGTGTGCCGCGGTCTTGTCCCGTTGCTGGCCGAGGGGGCTGCCAGAGCCACGGATTCAGATACGACTGATGAGCTTATCTCTGCGGCGTTGAGAGCGGCCAAGCAGAGGGGGTTCTGCCGTGAAGGGGAGTCGGTGGTTGCTCTTCATCGCATCGGAAATGCGGCTGTGATCAAAATCATCTCGGTGAAGTAATTTGGACAGGGTGCTTTCTTTGAATGGTTTATTAGCTATTTTCTTGCGCTTTGAACTATCTCCGGAACTTAGTCCGGAAATTGTAGTGTCCTGCAAATCAGGCGTGCTTGAGTTTGGAAGCATTGGAGCGAAGATCCAATAAATAACTTGTCAAAGTCAATTTGCTCTCAGCACTTTCTATAAACTGATTTTGAGTCTATTACAGAGGATTTACCCGTTTGTAGAACATACTCGTCAGAAAAACACATTACATAATTTTTGCTTCATGCGTCCTTCAACTCTGACGGCTAATGCTTGACGAACCAGTTACATGGGAGCCTGAATTCGCACTTGCCCTGGCAAACTTGCGTCGCCTCTTGTCCCCCCAACTTTTCGTCAATTCGCATGCACGATCCTCATCCCACCTCAGGAGATGGCGGCGACTCGTGTCGACGGATGTGAGGGGCGGGCACAACAAATGCGAGCCACCGACATGGAAGGCGACATGCGAGGAACCAGGCAACGCACGACCGGGAATGCGAAATCACACTTATGTTTCGCGAATTAGTGATACCCGCCCCTCCTCCCCAAACCTATCCGCGAATCCATCCGCTGATTTTCCGCCAAAAGATAATGCGGAGCGCGCGAAATGACGCATCCAACGCGATTCGGGGGATTCATCGCTTTTCTCCCCCAACCTCAACCCAACCCATCTCCACCAGAATTTCCCATCCCCCGCAGAATTTGCCTCCAGAAGCTCATCAAGTTCTTGGAAAATAACGCTCATCAAGTCAACTTCAGAATCTCTGAATCACTGGTCTCCTGAACCTGCGGTCTCCGGAATGCGGAATTCCACCATGGCTATCTCGAGATGGACGCTGTTAGGCATCTTCCTTCTCCTCCTGCTTTCAGGTACCTGAAACAATGCCTGAACGCTAATCGCGTATGGTACTGAAAGTGAGTCTGCGACTACCGCTGCTCGTGCTCTCTGGCTCTCATCTCGTTGCGCTTATACATCCTCTCATTTCTGCAGGCTCCTTAGCGAAAGGGGGCGGAGGAGGCGGCGGGAAGGGGAAAAGCAGTGGGAATGCTAAAAAAGGCGGGGCCAGCAAGGGAGCAGGGAAGGGCAAGGGCGGCAAACTGCTTGGCTTCTTTGGCGGCCGAACCCGCATTCTCGGTGAGTGCATTTTCCGTTTTCGTGAATATCATGTGCGTCAATTTTCCTGGTCGCAACCTTCCCTATGTCGCATCCTTCGCACAGCGATACTGCTTTGCACAATGGGTCTCTTCAGTATGATTATGCGCGTTGGAAGACCTGTATCAAGCAATGCTGTTTTCGCAAGCGAGTGTAACGCGCATCGCGATATCCTTTCACGACGTGGTTCGGCGCGCAGGCTCGGTGCAAGCGAAGCTACAAGGAAAATTCGTGGTGGACGATATGGGCGCCAGCGCGGGTGCCCGAAACGCGATTGGCACACTGACTCTGGTTTCACTTAGGTACAACCGAGATTCTAGTGATTTGTGCCGTATCTTGCGCTTCTTTCAATCGACTCAAAAATCACTGGCTCTGGTTTCATTCGAATACAGCATAGATTTAAGCGATTCCTGTCGTTTTCCCCACAGCAGTGGTCGCGATTCCTTGAATTCGGTGCTTAGTTAGTGATGGACAACTAATTGACGAGGGATGGACGCTTAAATGCAGCCGGATCACCGCTTCCCGCGCCCACCGCTCTTCTCCTTTCACTCTGTCCCCTCGCTTCCCTCTCCCTCCCTCTCCCCTCTTTCTCGCCTCCGTTCTCCCTCCCTCTGCGCTCCCTCACGCCTTCCCCTTGCCTCCCTCCTCCAGCAACGGAACCATCACATTCTCAGCGCGACTTGAACTCTCCCAGCCCGAGCTCCCTTCCTCCATCTCCATCAACACAGCCGCCAAGGGCGCCACGGGTGACGTCCTTATTGACCTCTCATCTGATGCCACGTGGCAGAACGTTACTGACATGGTCATTATAGCGAAAATGGCGAGGCCTGGGTTTGGTTTGGATCGGCCAGACCGGAATCCGTACGTGTATGTTTTCGAAGGTTCGTGGAGGAATGCAGCAGCGTTGACTACTACAGACGGAACTACTTTTAAGGAGGTATTTGCTGATATAAGCAAGTCGCCTGCGGCATTCTATGCGACGGTTGAGACAGAGAGATTTATATATGGTGCTGCCCGCGGGCAGTTTGCAAAGCCTAACCGTGGGTTGGGCATATTCAGAAAGGCTGGTAATTGAAGAGTGTATATTTGCATGTTGTAGGTTCTTATTGGCATGCCAACATGCCTGCCATTTCTTTCATATAAGGTACCGTTGAATTGTTATGTTTCTTGTGAATCGGTGCCTGTGAATTAGTGGTACCGTACCATGCACTGCATAGCTGTCCTGAATGTTATTGCACTTTTAGGCAGCTTTTAGTGGAAGGCTACTTCTGCCCTACAGGCGAACTCAATGCACATCTAGGGAGACTGCACCATTCGCATTCATGAGCAGCAGACGCCACCTTTCGTCAACCTAATTTCAACTTCAGTAATGTTGAAACTTTGCCATTCTAGACTCGGGCTTTAATCAAATAATAGACAGTGCATGCAGAGATCCAGCGGCGTAGCATGTGAGAGTGTCATGGCATGTGGTTTGATGCTACGCGGGAGTTGCAAGGTACCGTCATCACCCGGATATACCCCCAGGCCTATGTTACACCCATGCGGTTATAATCGTACTAGTGGGCTTATAGCCGGTTGCCGATTATAAGCCCACCCCAAGTTGTGTCAATCTTCGTATAAGCGCACCCAATGAATTCTGGTTTTTTTTTGTAGCGAAATCACCACTAACGCGACTAAACGAATCGTCACAGACATGCCTGACGAAATCCCCCCTGGCTCGCTTGGCAAAATTGCCACAGGAGGTGCACGTGCGCGAAATCTGCAACATTTGAGCAGGTGCTGACTCGGATTCTTGACTGTACGACACATTCTCGGAACTTTTCAGCAGCGATCCTCTTTGTGTAAGCATCGATTTAAATCGCCAGGGTGAAATCTACATTCCAGTGTTATAAAATCAAAATTCCATAAGTGTCATTTATTTAGCCCATGGGGTTATAAAATTTACCACATTATATGCCCACCCACCATTTTTCCAGGTTTTTTTACACCTCCACCTGGGGGTATATCCGGGTGATGACGGTAGGTAGGTAACTGTGCTGCAGAGATAGCAACACATTAGATGCCAACCGCATGCTCGCTCACTCCCATCCCATGACCGGCCACCACAGCTGATGCAGTGAAGTCGCTTTTTAATTTGTCTCAGGTGCGGCCGCCATTGTCACTGCCACTATCACTGCTGCTGCTACAACCGTTGCCCCCCTATTCCCCCTGGCCCCCGTTCTCCTTATTCCCCCCGCCATCCCTCGACTTCTTTCATTTCCCCTTAAACTCCCCCGTAACCCCGTTCTCCCCATTTCCCGCATTCTTGCTAGCCCCCGGTCACACAAATCCCCCCATTATCTCAGTCCCTCTGTTATCCCGGCACGTGCCATTCCAGCCCCCATTCCCATCCCACCCGTTCTTCACTCCAACCCCATTTTTCTCCCCCTTCTCAACTTTCTACTTCCCCTCATGATCCTCATTCCCCCCGTCATCCCCATTTCCACTGGTATCCCCATTCCCCCCGTCATCCCCATTCCCACTGGTATCCCCATTCCCCCCGTCATCCCCATTCCCACTGGTATCCCCATTCCCACCATTATCCCCGTTCACCCCATCCCCCCCATTCCCCCCACCCCCCACCTCCCCCTCGTGCAGGGTGACTTTGAACACAAAGGTGCCCCAGTTGCTCCACTCGGTGCGCGGCTGCCCCGCCACATACTGTACTGCTGCCCACGCATTGCCCTCCTCATCCACTGTTGCCGCCATGTAGTTTGAAAACAGCATCCTGTCACTCAGGTACCCTGGGGGAGAAGAGAGTAAATTTTTGAAAGGGGTCGAGGGCGGGAAAGAGAGGGGTGGGGGGTGTGTTCTTTGAGGCGCCTCAAAAGCTGTCTCACGTTATGAGGTGCCTCAAATGCAGCCTCTGCACTGCATCCCGACGTTAAACGTTGCCAACAGACCTAAGGGAGGTAGGTTTTCTCAGCCCGGAATTTTCCCAGCCAACAGAGCTTGTCTTACAAACTAAAATACCAAAGCGCGCAACAGCCACACGCCAGGAAGCGGACTCACCAAAGAAGCCGTCGAGAGGCAATTTTTGAGGCGCATAAAATACCACGCGCCACAAAGCGGACTCACCAAAGTAGTCATCGAGAGGCACTTTCCCCGCACCAACAACATTGATGCGGCCGACATCCACATTGGCGTTGAGAGTGGCATAGGCAGCTGAGGGGTAGAAGGAACGCCCTGCCAGCGATGCTGCCATGATGCCCACGCCTTGGCTGCGCCAGGGGAGTGTGGGAATGGGCAAGAGAGAAAGAAGACGGGCTGATTAATGCTGCTATCATGCCCACGCCGTGCCAGGGGGAAGGAGTGAGGAGATGGTAAGACGGTCTTGAAGCCCTGCTGGGTTTTCTTTTAGTGCAAGACAGCCGCATTCTGCATTCTGCATTCTGCATTCTGAATTGCATCTCAAGTGCTCATGCAATCGCTTCCTTCTCCCTCCTTGCCCCTCCAACCCCCCTCCCTTCTCCCTGCATCTCCACCCCCCCTCTCTCCCCCACTGCCGCTCCACCCCTTCTTCCCCTCTCTCCCACCTGTTGAGAGCGATGTTCGGCTGAATGAGGCTGTTCCCTCCGCCCACCCCCACCGCTTTGAACCGCTCCAGAAACACCCGGAACGGGCGCCACCGGCACTTGAGCCTCAAGGACAAGCGAAGGCGAGCGACCGTGGCAGAAGCACTCATGTCCTTGCCAAAGGCAGACATAAAGCTCACCCACATCTGCCTCCTCCTTGGAAACACCACTTGCAGCTACATATCCCGGGCCAATGGGTCTCATCGTGGTGTTCATCGCCCAAGCCAAGGGAACAGGTCCGGGTTTCTGCTCTACAGGCCCGGGAACAAAGTACGGGGGAGTGTTGACAGCAGCGCAGTGTGGCTCAACCACAGTCTCGGCTTCAGAGGTCCCAAGGGCGCTTGTACCCGTTATAGCAAAGGCCCCCATTGTGGTAAAGTTGGCGACAAGCACGGTTTCTTTAGGAGCTCCGGGGGTGGGGTTGACTGCAGTCCAGCCGAAATGCATGGTGCCGCTGTGGCGGTAGTCGTATTCCCCGTCTGCTGCGACCTTCTGAGAACGCTTGCAGTGTAAGGGACGACGAGGCGGAGAATGGTGGCATTCTCTGGCCTTTGGATCTGTGGCTTGGCGATTGCACTGGTTGGGGAGGAAGGGCAAGGGAGGAGGTAGTGGGACAGGAAGGCGCAGGAAGGGGGAGGAGAGAAGTGGAGTGGGAGGGGAAGGAGGGGGTAGGTGAGGGGAGAGAAGGGGAAGACGAGGGGAAGAGGGGAGAGATGGGGACGAAGATGATGGGAAAAGGATGGGGAGCTGATGGGGGAGGGTGTAGGCTCACCCCATAAAGCCAGCAATGCTTATCCCACCTGCAAAAACCTGTATTCGATGTGTGTTTGAGAGACGAAACAATCAGTATAAGCTCGCCCCGGTGTCTCCCCAACAGGTTTGCTAAAACGGTTTTTGAGGCGCCTCACACACAAAGCACTCACTATATGCTCGCCCCAAAGTAGCCCGGTGTCTCCCCAAATTGGTTTACTGAAACGTAAATTCCTGGGAGAAGGGGGTTGCAAGCAGGTGGAATGCACTTGAAGGTCTAGAACCGCAGCAGTGGGATAGAGGCTATAGAGCTATGTAGGAGATTGAGCTGGAATATGTTAAATCAAGTAGAAACATGAAAAGTAGAAGCAGAAACATGGGACTGCGACTAATGTCTAGGAGACTGATCACGTACGATTGACAAAGGTTTTTGAGTCGACTAAAGAACTGATCACGTACGATTGACAAAGGTTTTTGAGTCGTCTAAAGAACTGATCACGTACCATTGGCATCGGTGCCGATTTGGGGATTGTCCACTGATGACGGCAGATTACAAGAAAAAGGAAAGGAGGGAGGGGAGTAGGGCAAGAGGGGGGAAGTGTCACATTAAACACGTAAGTGACACCACAAGTGGGCAACGACAGAAGCAGGCTAGGTGACAGGGTTAGGATTAGGCAAGGGCTTTCTTCAAGAGGGAAAGGCGTTAGAGGAGCAAGCAATGGGCATTTGCATGGCATGGCAGGGATGAGAAGCACGCGGACAAGTCGAGAGAAATAAATATATATATATAACTAAATAAAAAAATAAATCATGAGGTGGTTTTTGAGTTGAGTAAAAAAAACATCATTCGCATGGCATGGCAGCAATGAGAAGCATACGGCCCAACACTCCCACCATAGCATGTTCCACCATAGCATGTTCCACCATAGCATGTTCCACCATAGCATGTTCCACCATAGCACGTCCCATCATCCCCACCAGCAGCAGCACCCGAGCCATCGCTCACACCATCACCATCACTATCACCATCACCATCACCCGTGCCATCACCATCACCCGCGCCATCAACCGTACCTTCGCCCACACTGTCCTGCACACCACCATCGAACGTACGGAAAGTGGTGAGTCGAGATGTGTCAAAGTGGAGAGGGGCCCTCCAATCCGGATTGGAGTTGATGCCGTCGTTGCTGGGAGAGGGGAGAGGTAGGAACGAGTGGAAAGGAGAGGACGGAAGTTGGGGAGAAGACGGAAGTTGGGGAGAAGACGGAAGTTGGGGAGAAGACGGAAGTTGGGGAGAAGACGGAAGCTGGGGAGAGGAGACAAGAGGGTATGAGTGGGGAGCAAGGAGGGCAAGACAGAGCAATGCGACAGTGGGAAACAGTGAGATCACGAGAAACAGAGGTGGGAAACGGTGATGTCATGGGAAACGGTGCAAGACGGTGAGCAATGTGAGAAACAGCATGAAAGAGGGGGCGAGCGTACGAGCCGGGAATAAAGAAGACGTTCCAGTCCCGGGTGGGGTCGTCCGTGGTTGACGCTGCCACTATCAGCCCCGAGCCCACTGTTGTGTTGCCTCGCCTCCTCGTCTGCCCAATCTTGTCATACGTGTTGTTGAATCCCCCTGACTGCCCGTGGGGAGATTTGGGAATGGGAGGCCAGCCAGGGAAGAGGGAGGTAGAGGGACGGAGGAATCGAACGAGGAAGAGAGCAACGGAGGGAGAGGGAATGAGGGAAAAATGAAGAATCGCTCGCTAGGCCCCGCACTCACAGTCGATGTGGCAGATAGGTAGAGAGGTAGAGAGGTAGATAGGTAGAGAGGTAGAGAGGTAGAGAGGTAGAGAGGTAGATAGGTAGAGGGGTAGAGAGGTAGAGAGGTAGAGAGAGGTAGAGAGGCAGAGAGGTAGAGAGGTAGAAGCACTCACAGACCAAGAGGCAGACAGGTAGAAGCACTCACAGACCAAGAGGCAGAGAGGTAGAAGCACTCACAGACCAAGAGGCAGAGAGGTAGAAGCACTCACAGACCAAGAGGCAGAGAGGTAGAAGCGCTTGGCTTGGCGATCAAAGGTGCACGTCATAGAATTAATGAAGTCTCCTAACACTGACGTGTTTTGCGGCACCCTCCTCTCCATCCACCACCCGTGGCAGCGCACCAAAGAACTGCCACGAGGGGTTTGAACATGAGGGGCGGGAGGAGAGGAGAGGAGGGGAGGGAGAGAGTGAGAGATGAGGAGGGAGAGGAGAGAGGCCCTCATTTTGGCGGCCAAGAGAGGGAGGGGTATAGAGGACAGGAGGAAGAGATGACGGGAGACAGAAACCGTAATGTGGTACTACAGGGACCTCTCCATTAAACATATGGAGTTGCAAGAATGTGCATATGTATGCGCGCGGCTACGTCTCGCATGTGAGCGTGTACTTGCCTCATTGCTTGTGATGATGCGAGTGAGCTGCTTCCCTTGCTTGTCATACACAACCATCGCTGCCAATGGGGAGAAGAGGAGGGGTGGAGTGGGTGGGGGGTTTGAGGGAGTGGGTGGTGAATGGAGACGTTCTTTAAAGGAATGGAGTGAAAAGAGGGAAGGAGAAGTCACGGAAAAGCTCTCAATAGTAACAGTCAATCACAGAGAGGAAGCACGGGGCAGGGAATTCCGCTTACCAATATTGACCGTATGAAGGATGTAGCCATTACCCACACAAAGATAAGGGTCGGGAGGGGAAACACGGACCTGAAACGTAACAAGGAACGTCATTAATGAACGGAAGAGGCCAACTAAAGGAGGAAGAACATCTTATTGCACGTAAAATATGTGCACAATTTATAAAGAATATTCTTACCAATGTATTGTTGTATTTAGGGGGTGTACCGCTATGAACCTCGTCGTATATGTTAATACCGGGAAACCCAACCGCCGGTTTCCTCTTCACGACTTGTTTCAGCTCCGTCGTGCGCGCCGAAAGTTCCCCCACCTCCGCCAATCGCTGCTCCTGTTAGGGGAAAAGAGCGAAAATAAATCAATAAAAAATAAGAGCAAATGAAAACTTTGTGAAAGCAATAAAAATATTATAACGGAAATGTAAAACTATTTGTTGCTTTCATTTAGAGAAGGGTAACGTCACGTTAGTGCACCATTTTGCGCTACGATCGTAGTAAATTCGTTAACAACCCTACCGACGGAGAGAATTATTTTCCTGAGCATGTCCTGAACCCTGTGCCTGAAGCAAACTTGAACTTGCACCTCCTCAGCCGAACTGCCCAACAAGCCTACCATGGGATCCACACCAGGGGCTGGTGCGCTTGCAGCGGCCGATTGCAGCTTCCGCTCGCTCCGATTCTCGCCGCTCTCCCCACTGCCGTCGTCGCTGCCGTTGTGGCTCGCCGCGCCTTCAGGCGCCGGCGGCAGCTGCGCGGTTCCGGCGAACCAGAGGTTCTCCGCCAGCTTGAACACCTCCACGCGGTCGTCGGATCCGCGCATCGGCGCAATGACGACGCGCGACGCCGCATTCGCTCCCCGGGGCGGAGCTAGCAGCTGCAGTAGAATCGCGAGCAGCAGTGCGGCATGACGTTGGTAGTAGCTGCATAGACGCGGGGGGGGAATTCGTGGACTCCTCGGAGCCATGGCGGAGCAGAATGCAGGACTTTCGGTCAACACCTCGGATTGCGACCTGATTGCAACTCAAGAGTGAGCAGACGGCAGATATGGAGAGATGAGCTCACGGAGAGCAGTTCTCCTTGGTAGTACCAAACCAAGCCCTTGTTCCGACTCGGAGGCTTCAGAATGACGTGGCCGGACGTGAGGTTCGTTAGAACAGTGGTCATTTTTTCAGGACTGAGGGCGTTCGCAAGGACGTCTCTAAGCCGCGACACGCGCAAGTGACTTCCAAAACTGACAAAAATATAGAAGGTTTGGGATTGGTTGAAAAGGTAGTGGCTTATGTGCATCAGTCTTCGAAGTCCGTACTATTGTAAAGGTTTCCTTCCTCACCGCAAACTTTTCCAACGTGCCAATGCATTGGGTCACGGGTGTGGCCCGGGGTTGCTGCTTCCGCCGCGCGAGACTGCACAGGGGGACGGCAATATTTCAAATAACACGAGATGGAAGTCGACTGGATATAAATATAATGTTTTTGATGATTCAGATAAATTACAAGACATTGAACCAGAAGCTTCAAGCCCTATCATCCTCAAGCTGCTTGTGCCTAAATTTAGCAAATACATCCAGATCACCTCCAAGGTGAGGCATAACGCCCAAGTGCAGAAATCAACAAGTTGCTTATAGACCTACTTCAACAGCACCAATTTCATTTCTGCTGCCTCCTTTGTGCGCAAGGGAATGGACCTTGGATCATCCGCAAGCTGCGGAGGCCCAAGTTCAGCAGGTTCATATCATTTCCAAGTCAGATGATCATGAAACGCAGGCACAGGCTCAGTAGGGCGAGTTTGAGGTGAGATGTGACAGAACACAGCTTCATTGCGGAAAGTTACAATGAGTCGAGCAGAAGGGTATGAGCAGCAGTTGCAGCAGTCAAATGATGAACATTTTTGAAGAGTTAAAGCAGCATGTGAGAATGGCATGGCGCGTGATGTGATGCTGTGCGGGAGTTGCACGGGAAACAGTGCTGCTGAGGTAGAAACACATGAGTACGATGGCATCTGCGTGTTGTGTGGTCACCACTGTGCTATAATTGAGTCGCTTTTGAGATTTCTCAAGATTGCCACCATTGTCACCAGTGCCACTGCCACTACCACTGCTGCTGCTGCTGCGCCCATTCTACCCCCACAGGTCCACTCCACATCATGCGGGCGAGTAGGCACAAGTCACATCCTTGCTTGCCTCAAGCATTGGCTTTTGAAGCGCCTCACAAGTGCGGGCGAGTAGGCACAAGTCACATCCTTGCTTGCCTCAAGCATTGGCTTTTGAAGCGCCTCACAAGTGCGGGCGAGTAGGCACAAGTCACATCCTTGCTTGCCTCAAGCATTGGCTTTTGAAGCGCCTCACAAGTGCGGGCGAGTAGGCACAAGTCACATCCTTGCTTGCCTCAAGCATTGGCTTTTGAAGCGCCTCACAAGTGCGGGCGAGTAGGCACAAGTCACATCCTTGCTTGCCTCAAGCATTGGCTTTTGAAGCGCCTCACAAGTGCGGGCGAGTAGGCACAAGTCACATCCTTGCTTGCCTCAAGCATTGGCTTTTGAAGCGCCTCACAAGTGCGGGCGAGTAGGCACAAGTCACATCCTTGCTTGCCTCAAGCATTGGCTTTTGAAGCGCCTCACAAGTGCGGGCGAGTAGGCACAAGTCACATCCTTGCTTGCCTCAAGCATTGGCTTTTGAAGCGCCTCACAAGTGCGGGCGAGTAGGCACAAGTCACATCCTTGCTTGCCTCAAGCATTGGCTTTTGAAGCGCCTCACAAGTGCGGGCGAGTAGGCACAAGTCACATCCTTGCTTGCCTCAAGCATTGGCTTTTGAAGCGCCTCACAAGTGCGGGCGAGTAGGCACAAGTCACATCCTTGCTTGCCTCAAGCATTGGCTTTTGAAGCGCCTCACAAGTGCGGGCGAGTAGGCACAAGTCACATCCTTGCTTGCCTCAAGCATTGGCTTTTGAAGCGCCTCACAAGTGCGGGCGAGTAGGCACAAGTCACATCCTTGCTTGCCTCAAGCATTGGCTTTTGAAGCGCCTCACAAGTGCGGGCGAGTAGGCACAAGTCACATCCTTGCTTGCCTCAAGCATTGGCTTTTGAAGCGCCTCACAAGTGCGGGCGAGTAGGCACAAGTCACATCCTTGCTTGCCTCAAGCATCGCCCCAGCTCCTCGCCCTCACCCCCCCTCACTGTCCAGTGCCCCCACCCATCAGCCCCACTGCCCATACATCCCATTCCCAGCCTTCCACACTCACATGCTCTCACACTTCCACACTCACATGCTCTCACACTTCCACACTCACATGCTCTCACACTTCCACGCTCACATGCCCTCACACTTCCACACTCACATGCTCTCACACTTCAACACTCACATGCTCTCACACTTCCACACTCACATGCTCTCACACTTCCACACTCACATGCTCTCACACTTCCACACTCACATGCTCTCACACTTCAACACTCACATGCTCTCACACTTCCACACTCGCTACGCTCCCCGCAACCGCTGCTGCCAACGGCCCCATTTCTCCCCTGTCCCCTCTCCTCCTTATTCCCCCCACTTCTTTCATCTACCCTTGAGTTCCCTTTTCCCCCGTTCTCCCTTTTCCCTCCAGTCCCACTTGCCCCCATCATACCCGTCCCCCAATTCTCCCTGCTATACCCATTCCCATCATTCTACTCCCCATTCCCATCAACGCCCGTTCCCCCACTACCCCCATTCTCTCCCTTCCCACTGTTCTACTTCCCCTCGTGATCGCCATCCCCCGCGTCATCCCCATCCCCACTATCATCTCCGTTCCCCCCATTATCCCCATTCCCGCCATTATCCCCATTCCCCTGGTCCCCATTTCCTCCATCTCCCCCGTCCCCCCCGCCCTCCCCCCCCTGCAGGGTGACTTTGAAGACAAAGGTGCCCCAGTTGCTCCACTCGGTGCGCGGTTGCCCCGCCACATACTGCACTGCCGCCCACGCGTTTCCCTCCTCGTCCATCGTTGCCGACATGTAGTCGCCGTACCGCATCTTTGCAGTCTCATGCCCTGGAAGGGGGGAAGGAGGGTGGGGGTTGGCAGGGATTTGACTCAAGCGTAGCCGACTTGTAGCATTATGGCAACTCACCAGAGTAGTCATCGAGAGGCGCTTTCCCCGCGCCAACAACGTTGATGCGGCCGACATCCACATTGGCATTGAGAGTGGCATAGGCAGCTGAGGGGTAGAAGGAACGCCCTGCCAGCGATGCTGCCATGATGCCCACGCCTTGCCTGGGGAGGGCCAAGGGAGAGAGAGAGAAAGGCAGGTGAAGGGAAGGAGATGGGGTTGTGTGATGGCCTTACCATGCGTGGATGGGGGCGTGAGTGGATGGCGGGAGGGCGGGTGTGTTGGTGGAATGAAGATGGGCAAAATGCTGCTGTAAATCTCTTGATGTGCTTAAAAGGGTGCTCTTGAGCACCAAACAGCATGGTGCATGTCAAGTGCTCGTGCATATTATCCTGTTGAGGGGGAAACGCATGAAGATTGAACCTAAGAGGGTAGATTCTCCCCACACCCTTCCCCTTTTGCCGTCCACCCCCACACCCTCCCCCGCCATCCACCCCCTCCTCCCCTCTCTCCCACCTGTTGAGAGCGATGGTTGGTTGAATGAGGCTGTTCCCTCCGCCCACCCCCACCACTTTGAACCGCTCCAAAAACACCCGAACGGCCTCCACTTGCGCTTGAGCCTCAAGGACAAGCGAAGCCTCGCCACCACAGCAGAAGCACTCATGTCCTTGCCAAAGGCATAAAGCTCACCCACATGTGCCTGCTCTTTGGGAAGACCACAACTGCACGGACACTAAAAAGTGTGGGGCTGATGGCATGGATGGTGGAGTGGAGTCTCCAAGCAGTTGGCACGGGCCCGTTCTTTTGCTGAACATCATCCATTTTGAAGAACGGTGGAGTGGTGACGGCCGCACAGTGAGGCTCCACCAAGCTCTCCGCTTCAGGGGTCCCCAGAGCACTTGTACCCGTTATAGCAAAGGCTCCCATTGTGGTGAAGTTTTGTACAAATTGCAGTTCCTGTGGGGTATGGGGGGTGGGGTTGACCCCGGACCAGCCGAAATACATGGTGCCGCCGTGGCGGTAGGCGTAGTCCCCATCAGCAGCAACCTTCTGAGGGAAAATGGTGACGGCTGAAGGCGGATGATTGGGGCACGGCGAAGCGAAGAACGGTTGTGTTCTGAGCGCATCGAAACGCACCACCCTTGAACTCGATGGCGCAATACTTGCAAACGCGGACAGCCCCGACGGTGTCAGGGCAGATGGGAACCTTGAAATGGTTGAAAACGAAAAACATGCTAAGAGTATTGTGGAACATAGGATGAAACGCCGTTAGATGTAACGCGGTGGGATGTAACCGTGTGATCAGGCCATTTGATGCCAGTCCAGAGGGCAACGAGTCCATCAGCTCGCAGCACGACAGCAGTGGCAGAGTAAGGGGCGATGCAGGGCTGCTGGGAGTCCAGATGGAGAATGTCGGTGAATGGGGGACAGGCCTGGAGGAACAGGGGGGAGAAGGATGGGGGGAAGGGGGGAGGGGGCTGCTGGGAGCTGCTGGGAGTCCAGGTGGAGAATCTCGGTGAATGGGGGATGGGCCTGCAGGAGGGAAGGGAACAATGTGGGGGTGCAAGCAAGAACTGCGAGTAAGAGAGCGGTGACAGAGGAGGAGGGGGTGATGCAGGGCTGCTGGGAGTCCGTTTAGAGTATCTCGGTGAATGGGGGATGAGCCTGGCCTGGAGGAGGGAAGGGAACAATGCAATGCGGGAGTAAAGAAAAGGAAGATGGATGCTGCGAGGTGTTTTTGAGAATTCTCAAAAACTCCCTGCAACGTCAGGGAAGGAAGATGGATGCTGCGAGGCAAAGTGAACAAGCCCTGTGAATGGAGGTCGCACCTGGGGGGGGAGGGAGCACTTGTTGGGGGGAGAACACACCTGTTGGGGAGGGGGCGCACCTGTTCGGGGGAGGGCGCATCTGTGGCAGGGAGGGCGCAGGTAGGGGGGCAGGGCACACCTGTTAGGGGAGGATACGCACGTGAGGGAGGAGGGTGCATGTGGGAGAGCAGGAGTGTAGGGCGCACCTGGGAGTGTGGGAGTGTAGGGCGCACCTGGGAGAGTAGGGCGCACCTGGGAGAGTAGGGCGCACCTGGGAGTGTAGGGCGCACCTGGGAGTGTAGGGCGCACCTGGGAGTGTAGGGCGCACCTGGGAGAGCAGGGCAGCGACAGCAGAAGCATCCACGTCCCACAGGCGCGCGAAGACTCCAGGGAAGCCACCTTGTACGGTCTGTGGGGAGGTGAGAGTGGGGGAGGTGAGAGTGGGGGAGGTGAGAGTGGGGGATGTGCAGAAAACTGTTGAACATCATACATGAACAGTAATTATGCATTGAACATTAGGTATGAACATTATATGAGAACGATAAGAGTGTACAGTAGGCACATACAGTGATGCAAAAAATCCGTTCGTTAAGGGAGGATTCCAAAACCCGCTCCCACTGGCTGATGATTAAGGAAATCGACGGCTCTCAAATGCTACCTCCTCTTCTCTTCAACCCTCTGCCTCCTCCCTTCACTCCTCCACTTCCTCCACTTCCTCCACTTCCTCCACTTCCTCCACTTCCTCCACTTCCTCCACTTCCTCCACTTCCTCCACTTCCTCCACTTCCTCCACTTCCTCCACTTCCTCCACTTCCTCCACTTCCTCCACTTCCTCCTCCTCCCTGTCCCGCCATTCCTCCCCTCGTTGCACCTTTATCCCTACTCCCTGCCGCCCCATCCTGTCCTCCTCCACTCTCAAAGTTATAAAGGAGGATATCCTCAAAAGTAGACCCAATCAGAAGCCGCCAATTGTACCGCTCCGAGTGGCTGAAAGCGACATCTGTGACAGTTTCAAATTTCACTAAACGGGGTTAAACATCCACTAGGGTGTGACTGGAGCGAAGGTGCTGCAAACGAATGATGCAATGGCGGGGACATTCTCCTCCCATGCCAGATGCTCCCTCAGCCTCGTGCAACAAGTCAGCCTCCGCCTGAAGAAACTCCTCTGAGCGCTCTTCCCTAATTGCTACACTGGATGCAACACCAGTAGCAGCAGCAGCATTAGGTGCGGCGCCCTGGTGCTGCTGGTCTGTGCGCGGCCACACAGGAATGCTCCCCATGACCACCAAGGTCGTGTCACTAGCAGAGAGGATTGATGCTATGGGGGGGTGGAAGTGAGGCATGGATGCAGCAACAACCCCTGTCTGGGGATCGAAGGCTAAAGCCTGATTGTATACACACTCCAGCTTGGCCTGTGCTTGGGCATGCGTTGGTGACTGCTTTGACTGTGTTGACTGCGTTGACTGCGATGAATGCATTGAATTCTGCTGAATATAAAAGACGAACAGCCAGCAGAGCCCAAGTCCCACAGGCGCATGCTGTAAGATGAGAATATGTCTGTGCCCCCATCCCGCCCCTCCACCAGCAAATACCGAGGCCGAGGGCATGGCGTCTCTCCCTTGCACGTGCGACGCTCGGTAACAGCCCCACCCTCCCACCACTCCCGTGGCCCTCGCTTGCCTTTCCGCGGCCTCCACCGCACCTGCTCCCCCTCTCCCTTCTCGCCCTCCCCTCCCTCCCCTCCCGCTCCTCCCTCTCCTCCCTCCGTGTTCCCCTCGCCCCTTCCCACCCTCTCCAGGTCCTGCCACAGCTGCTGCTCGCCCATCGCCCCCTGCACGAACCAGAGCGAGCACCAGGGGGCTGCACAAGGCACGATGGCAACGCACGTCCCTCCGAATCCTCGGCGCTCTGAAGTGCTTCCTGCTAGCAGTGCCTCAGCTGAACCTTCTTGCACCACTTGGAACCCTGCTGGTACCACTTCCAACCCTGCTGGTACCACTTCCGACCCTGCTGGTACCACTTCCGACCCTGCTGGTACCACTTCCGACCCTGCTGGTACCACTTCCGACCCTGCTTCTCTTACATTTGCCCCTGCTCGTAGCGCTTGTGGCGTTGAGCTACCATCCCCCCTTGTGGGCCAGCGGGGCAGGCTCCACACGCACACCGATCCGTCCTCTGCCGCACTCGCCACCAGCCTCCACCCATCCTCGTTACAAGCACACCAGATATCCTCGTTACAAGCACACCAGCGATCCTCGTTACAAGCATCTGCAGTGACAGCTCGAGAACATGAATCAGGACCCAGGGGGGGGTCCCCCAGGCTCTCAGAGAGAGTGAGGCGGGAGAGTGGGAGGGGGAGGGGGTGGTGGAGGGAGGCGAGGAGGGAGTGGGAGGGGAGGTGCCACACCTGCAGGTGGCCGTGAGAGGTGCCCAGGAGGAGAAGCGTGTCGTCCACTTTTATCACTGAAATGGTAACAGGTGGTGCTGCTGGTGCTGCTGGTGCTTCTGCTGCTGGTGCTGCTGCTGTTGCTGCTGCTGCTGTTACTGGTGCCGATGGTGTTGATGGTGATGCTCCTGCGCTCCCGTTCCCCCCTTCCCCCATGCTTCCCCTCTCCCCCCATGAATCCCCCAAATATCGCACTTACCCACTCTCCAATTCCTCCCCACCTCCACTCTCTCTCTAAACCTCCTCTCCACACACCGCTCTCACTCACTCCCTCCCTTTCCCCTTCCCCTGCCCCTTCCCCCTCCCCTTTCCCCTCCCGCACTTCCCCTCCTTTCCCCTCTCCGCGTGGCTGTTCCGCCCTGCTCCAGTGCGCAGCCCTTTCCCCAAACGTCCGCTCAAACACCTTCCGCCAGAACGCCTCTCCCCCTGCGCCCCCCGCATCCCGCTCCTCCGCCACCACCGCATCCCGCCAGTCCCTGCGCATGGGGGAATCGGCGGAAGGCGGGGAAGACAGAGAAGAGGCGGAAGCGGGAATCGCGGGCAGGGGCGGTGAATTGAGCAAGGGGGCCTCGGGGAGGGAGCAAGTGGGGGTAGGGCAGGAACGAGAGGCGGAAGCGGAGGGTAGAGGGAAAAAATCGCGCCTACGGGGAGCATGTGGGGAAAAATCCGCCTTGGGGGGGGGGGGGGGGGGGGGGGGGGGGGGGGGGGTGGAGGACGGGAGGGGGGAGTGGGGAGGAGCAGGGGAGAGGGCGGGGGAGGTGGGCGCACCTGCACGTGAGCATGGCGCAGATTATTCCGCCAGGCCCTTCAGCTGGTAGGCGTTGGAATATTTCCAGAAGAATGGATCGCGGAAGTTTCGTAGCCTGATGAGACAAAGCGGAATCACTTATCGCCTCGTCTGGAGGCCCTTCGGTAACCGCCATTTCCGCGCACTTGCCGAGTGGAAGTCGAATTTGCTATCAAGCAGCCAACTCAGACCCGGATTTTGAAATGGGGTGAACAGTTTGAGAAATATAACACTCTCAGACTCTACCAAATGTACACCGCGAAACGTACCCATACGTTATGCGAATCAATTTCTACTGGGTGTGCTCCATGGTATTCGGATAGTTGGGGTCATGCTTGATGACAGCGTCGCAAACACCCATGCGAAGCCTTTGGCGAAATGTGTCTCCAGTCCAGTTCCGCACAGTGCATTGTTTCGCACCTGTCTGTTTTCAGACGTTTGGCTTGGCGCCCTCAGTGCTGGTGGAGGGGCCATCAGCAGCAGCTTTGCCTGAACATAAACAAGATTTTGTGATCAAATCGGTCAATTATGGTATGGAATCCTAGATACGGGCTGTAGAGCAGGAACCTGCTCCACTTCAATAAGTGGGAGCAATCACTTCCGAGATTGCAGGGCCTGGTGTAGAAAAAACCTGGGAGATTGGGAGAATTGTTGAGCTCAGCACTAGTTAGGGGGGAATTGTTTTACAAGCCAAGGTGCTCAGGTGATCAAACAACGAGCTACATTTGTTGACTGCGGAATAACGTGGCAAGATTCTACGCCTGAACGAGCATCTGACATCTCTATGTTTCCCGCACCTGGCAAGATTCTACGCCTGAACTCTCGAAATGCTGCTCGCATCAGCCACATTTCTTCTCCACGCGGGGCTACCCACCTTCATATTCCGTACAGTGTTGGTTTTCTACATTGCGCACCGCTTCTGCACGGTGCTGCTCGGTGCTTGGTTGTCAGAGTGCATTGCTTCTCTCATGCCCACCACCACCGCCCATGCTGTAGGGTAACTTGCTGCCGATTGCTGGACTTTTTCATACACCTGATGCCTGTTTGAGCCCCTCCCGGTTGCCTTGTAAAGGGGGTGTATAAGCTGTGACAAGACTTTTCGCTAAGTTTCGTCAATTCGCAGCTAGCTAAAAAGGATTCGCATGTGCTTGTATACAAGATCTGTTACCATATTTGACTTCAGTCTATTCTGCTTGACTTCGGACTGTTCGTTACTATTGGTTGATAACCACGCGACGCGCTTGTAATGTAGGTGCATGAGGCTGGGGAAACAACCACGGGTGCATCGTATCCATCCGGCGCAGGGCAAATTCGCGTGCATGGGGTGAGCATCAGCTGTACTGATCACCTTCTCGGAAGTCCGCTATGAGTATTGGCCACAGTCGTTCTGAGCATGCCTTTGTAGCACTGTTCACCCCCACATATTCAACACCAATAGGTCGGTCGGTCCACTCCACTCCACATCACCACAAACACCATAGTCCTACAAAATAGAAGGCTATGGTGTAACGACACCGCAAACATGGGGTTTCTGTGCTGGAGTGTCGTTACACTCTGGCTGGTAGCTAAGACCAATCCAGCATTGCCACGACGATGAGTTACCACATCAGCTTGCAGCATCTTGAAGATTCTGTGTTGGAGCATCAGTGGCCGGCCAGGGCGTCAGTAGTGGGCCCTACTAGGCGACGAAAGCGGCCAAAGAAAGCTGCTTCCTCCGCGACGAAAGGCGTTAAGACGACCCCTCGCTTTTGTCGGCGCCAGCCTGGCAGTCGCAAGGGCGTGTGCGAGGAAGCGGTTCGCGCAAGGACAAATTAAGAGCAGAATTTTTGTTCATTCGCACGACGGGTGTTTGTCGGTCTTGTCTTGTTTCCTTGCTTGCAACATACAAATGTTCTCGTTTATAGTCCGACGGATCAACATCGCCGCGCGCGGACTATGTGGCAAAACCTTCGAACCCCAGGCAGAACGCGATACTTTTAGTCCCGTTCAGGAAAATTGCATGAAGAGTGGTTGTTTTGCTACTAGTTTCTGGAGTTTGGCATTTACGTAGATTTGGACTGCGCTTGCTTCAACTTCCAGTCGCACGGTTTTCCACGCTGATCAATGTCGCATGACTAACGGTTAAAAATAAAAATAAAAAAATGAGCCATGGTTTGGGGGTCGAATAGTAACCCAAAACTTATTTTCTACCCAGTAAGCGAGATAAACTAGAGAAGTATTCGCGGTCTAGAGAAACAATTACCTACAATTTAGAAGTTAAATATCGAATCGATGATCCCTTCTTCGTTGTTTTCCATTCATGTTGGGCTGGTTTGATCTGGAGCCTATGATTGGCTGCGGAGCTGATTCGTGCAATGATTCGGTCAAGCTGCCAAATTTCCCGCCAAAAACGGGACTTTAGGGGTCGGGCCAACCCTAGGCGATATCGGAAAATTCTTCTCAGGGGGGAAAAGGGACTCTCTCAGCGAGGGCCTCTAACCCGGAACATCTGTACTGAACCAACGACAAACCTCTCCTTACATCGTCTCGCGTGCGTCGATGGACGCGCGTGACGCGGAGGACGAGTGGTGGTTTGAACTTGTACTGTAGTCCTCGCGACAAGCTCTCATCCCAGCCGCTCCTTCCCCGACAAGCCGCGAAAACCGAGGGTACAGAGTCTCTCTGTTACCTTCAGGGGCCTCGAAATCAGAAGGCGGTGCCAGCAATGCATCATCGTCGAAGCACACTCAACGGTCGCGTCGCGAACCGACTCTACATCATGGGGACGGACGGCGTCATGCTGCTGGCCAGAAAGTAGCGCATTTCAAGTTTCAACGTCCCGATGTCCGATAAGCGTTCAGCCCGCACTTGCTGCTCGTGAGCTTCATTTTACATCGCAATCCAGCCTCTGGATTTGGCTGCATAATCACCACTTTCGTAGCAGCTTCAACATTGATGAGAAAAGCAAAATTGCGGTGTGTCAAGGGCCTCAACACGTCACGATGACAGCTTTACAAGCGAGGAAGGCGGGGTGAGAGGAGAGATGAATTTCGCTGCTGTTCAAGTATCACTGGAGCTCGCAATAGAGGTCAAGGTTCTTGCTCATGGCCGCTATAACAAATTCCACTACTAGTAGTACCAAGCATCTATCTTTCCCCCCGCTGTTGCCGCATGTTCTTGTCGAAGCTGCTGCCAGCACAATGGGTTCGGATAGTGATTCTCTGGCCAAGGAGGAACTCGCTGCTGCAGAAAAATCCAAAAACGCGTCAGGTCGTTTCGCCATGGCTGCGAATATCTTAGACGGAATTAGCGGAGGATTTCGCAGTTCACAGCAATTTTCCACGAGGCCGTCGCACACGGGTTCCCGAGAAAGACAGGAAATGCGTCCCAGATGGGGCTCGATAGGTTTAGGAGCGCGAGGTTGCGAAGATCCAGCTTCCACTGGTAGTCCGGCGAGGGATAATCGCTATGCCGCGGTTTGCGCCGATGAAAGAGGCTCGTCTAGCGCCGCCGGATTTGGACGTCAAGGAACAATAAGGTCGTCAATGACCGACGAACTGAAGACGGTAACGGACGAGCTGAACGCAATCCTGCAATCAGCTCCAGACCGACGTGACCTCATGGATAAAGCGGGTCTGCGAAGCGCGGCGGAAGTCGCGGGCTGTTTCGGCGACGGCAATCGGGAGCTGGTAACCAAGCAGTCGCAAGAACAAATGTTGCACCAGCAGCAGCAGAAGCAGCAGCAGCAGCACAAGCACGAGCAGATTGGCGATCTGGCGAAACGCTACCACCAGCTTGGTAACTCGTACCCAAAGGCTCAGCTGCTGGAAACCCGCCCTCTGCTCGTGCGAACGCTGGCGAAGCACAACCGGGAAGATGATATCAGGGGCAGTAACACTGAGATGAGCAAAAGGACGAAATGGAGTTCATCGGACGGTGGAAAAGGTGCAGATTGGGTTCGTTGGTCCAAAGTTTCAAATGACACAAATGTACAGCAGCCAGAGCTATGGATGAGGCAGCCAATACCGCGGACGAGTCCAAACCCAAAGCCAAGCCAGCAGATGGAGCAGCCAAAAGTGCTCCCACGGCCGAACCAGCTTGTGCCTGCACTTCTGGTGCAACTACCCAGTAACGAGGATAATTTGTACAGTGCAACTACAAGACCGCTTGATTCTTTGCAGCCAGATACAGTGAAGTTGGAAGGGGCGGGGGGAGGAACAAATGGATTGCTAAGCCAAGCACAAATACAGCAGGTGCTGCTGGCCGCATTGATGGACGAAACTCCCTTGCCTCTGCCGGACAATGAAGCCGGCACCTTTTTCCCCGACTCTTGTCGTCAGGGTTCCGTCACTCTCGCTGCTCGTCCACCGCCTCCTGCTGCGAGAACTACTGCGTTTGTTCCTGGTCCCTTTTTTGCCAGACATGGCAATGGCGATGCCATTGGTCCGGTTACAAGTGTCGCTGGCGCTGCTGCTGCTGCTGGTGCTACTTTTGGTAAACCGAGACTCCCTGTTTCTGCAGCAATATTACCGGCTGCTTTTCCAGCTGATTGCTCCGATGTCGCCGGTGCGAGCACAGGTGGTGGTGCTACACGTACGCATGTTGCTTCTGCTACAAGCATGGATGTTCCTGCTACAAGCATGGGGGCTGCTGCTACAACCATGGGTGGTGCTGCTACAAGCACGCATGTTGCTTCTACAAGCAAGGGTGGCGCTGCTACAAGCTCGCCCGTGGCTGCTGCCAGCACAGGACTCCCAGGAGGACACACAACCGCAGTGGGGAATGCTGATAGGAGGTTGCTGCATGCGACATCTCGAACCACAGAATCCAAGTCGGGGAGCGAAAGGAGCGACCGGGAGGGCTTGGGGAATGTGGGGCGGAGGTTGCTGCGTGAGACACAACCGACAGCATCCAAGTCAGGGAGCGAAGGGGCCGACCCGAGTGCTGCGGGGAGCACAGGCAGGAGGTCGCTGCACCCCCGCGCTGCAAGGGACAGAGAGAGGAGGAGACAGATGGCGTAAGTGGCTGGCTGTGTGTATCACCCGCCAAGGGCATGCACTATAATGGGAAGGCATCTCTTTTGTCCCAGGGTTCCTGAAAGGCTCCCCTTGCTACAACCTCATTGGAACCCTTTCCGGCTTCTCGTCTTCTTCCCGGTTCATATCTGAGTATCTTATGACTCATTTGGTTTTGGTGTTCTGACTTGTCTGGTCCGCATTCCCAATGTGTGTGCTGCAGTGAGTCGCTTCAATCACTGAGGGCCGTCCTGCCAGCTGGCATCCTCGGGGGGCAGCAAGACTTTGGCTCCATTATCAGCACTGCAGCACAGTATATAAGGAGCATGGAGGTGAGTACAGCTACGCACAAGTAATCTTATACAAAACAAGTGTAATACGGTAGGGGCAGTGCCTAATGCTCTCATTTTTCCGTGGGTAATCCCTCGCATGCAACTCATTCCCACATGGTCTTCACGAGGTTGCATTGCTTGCCTTGCCACATTGTGGTTGAAATGATCATCTGTAACTCTGCAGGCACGAGTGCGAGAACTGGAAGCCAGTGAGATGAACCAGAGCATGCCACCACACGGTCACCTATGAGTTTATGTATGTCACCTTTACTTGTTGTACATAGATATGCATTGCCATTCATTGTACTGCATATACCATGTATCATATAGTTCCTCCAATATCTGAAGAAGCCAACTGCTGCATTGAATTCTCTTTCCACATTCTGGGCTGTATATCGATACCGGCGGAGATACTTGAGATAACGTACCACAGGTGGTGTCTCAGTCAAAGCATACTGGTAGTACATATTTTCCACCAGCCACGTTCAACGTGCAGAATTGGATATTTATCATGCAACAGCCACCGCCGATTCACTATAATGACACTGCTTGGGCACACGTGCACCGTTTCATTCAAAGTGGATAGTGGGATACATTCATGCTGCGTACGCCAATGTTACAGTATGTTGTACGGTAATCAAATTTCTCAGATATGCATGCACCGTCTCACTCGAAGTGCATGGTGGGATACTCATGCACGAGTCGGTTGTAATCGTAGTAAAGCCTCTCGCCCTTGGCAATCCGCCTCGTGGCAATCAGCAGCGCCCGGGCCTCCCCCTTCACACTGAAGCGCACACAGCGCAGATTGATCTTCCTGCGACCCTCCCTGGAGGAAGAGGGAGGAGTGGGATAGGGGACATGAAATGCAGGAGGGGACTAAGGGAGGACCCAAGTGAGGGCAAGAGCGAGAGTGATGCTTTTCTTGAAAGCAGTGAGCAGACCAGGCCTCCTCATTCACAATGGGGAGGGCACTCATTCACAATGGGGAGGGCACTCATTCACAATGGGGAGGGCACTCATTCACAATGGGGAGGGCACTCATTCACAATGAGGAGGGCACTCATTCACAATGAGGAGGGCACTCATTCACAATGGGGAGGGCACTCATTCACAATGGGGAGGGCACTCATTCACAATGGGGAGGGCACTCATTCACAATGGGGAGGGCACTCATTCACAATGGGGAGGGCACTCATTCACAATGGGGAGGGCACTCATTCACAATGGGGAGGGCACTCATTCACAATGGGGAGGGCACTCATTCACAATGGGGAGGGCACTCATTCACAATGGGGAGGGCACTCATTCACAATGGGGAGGGCACTCATTCACAATGGGGAGGGCACTCATTCACAATGGGGAGGGCACTCATTCACAATGGGGAGGGCACTCATTCACAATGGGGAGGGCACTCATTCACAATGGGGAGGGCACTCATTCACAATGGGGAGGGCACTCATTCACAATGGGGAGGGCACTCATTCACAATGGGGAGGGCACTCATTCACAATGGGGAGGGCACTCATTCACAATGGGGAGGGCACTCATTCACAATGGGGAGGGCACTCATTCACAATGGGGAGGGCACTCATTCACAATGGGGAGGGCACTCATTCACAATGGGGAGGGCACTCATTCACGGAGAAAAAGGGGGAGGGGTCAAACAGGTTGACGATAATGAGGGAAAGAGGGACAACAGCAAAGGACTGTGCTTGAAGGGCGGGCTTCGAGGGGCAGTAGACACAAGGGTATTGGAATGAAGACCGCAGACCCAAACACCGACAACAGGGAATTTCGGTAATGCATTTGCACAATCTGAATTTGTCAGTGCCAAATATAAACTGCACAAAGTTGGTTTGCCCTGGGATGCTGGTTAGTGGTATGAACCAAACATTTGATCAGACCCGTACCGGTGTCATCGTCCACTTGCACCCAACTCACTTGGTGTGGTTGTTGATTCCCGAGATGAACCGTGCAAAGTTTGCCGCCTCATCCGGGCAGATGACGAGATCCGTCTTATCCCGCCCGGTGAACAGTAACCCCATCATGGCATCGCACGGATCGTGCCGCCTCCGCGCCATGCTGTCAACCACCCCGCCATACTCCGTGACGATCGTGCGATCCGCTATAGGCGCATCCGCTTCCACTACAAAGCTGCCAACAATGGAAGGAAGTGGGGAGTGGGAACAGAGGTGAGGTGTGGGATGGAAATAGTAAGCAGGTGAGGTGTGGGGAAGGGATGTATAGAATGCTTACTGTGCACCCTAGACCTACAAATGAGAGACGACTTACCCTTGGCAAGGGTCGTGCTTGACAATCAGCGGTGGAGGCGCTCCGTCCCTCCACATCTCTTTGCACCGCTCCAAAACACCCACGTTCTCCCGGCTCAGCACCTGCATTCCCCCCACCTCCCTCCCGGGCTCGTTCATCCCCCTAGGCACGGCTTTAAAGGGGTATTCCAGCCCATCCACGAACCGCGCCCCAATAGCTGTCAGAGCGGTGGCTAGGGATCTAAGCTGCTCCAGGCGTCTCTCAGGATCCGGGACAGGCCGATGGGGGAACAGCTTTCTACTCAGCTTCACTCGGGTCTGCCTCTTCCTCCTGCCGCTGCTGCCACTGCTCGGGACTCTCCTTTTCCCGCCGCTGTTGCTGGCGTGGGAAGCGATGCTGCCGGTGCCTGAATTAGAAGTTAACCTAGAACCGCTAGTGTCTGTTACCATGCTCTCGTTTCCACTCCCGCCGTTATCACTGCCGCCACCAGCCGTTGCGTTTCTGCTGGCGGTGCAGTTGCGCTTCGTTCTGCACAAACTGCCACTGCAGGCGCCCAAACCGCTACTAGCAGAAGCGCCAGTGTTACTAGGGTTACTCGCACCTAAGTCTTTAGAGTTAGCACCTACGTTTCTAGAGCTACCGCCTATGCTAATCATAGCAGCATCTACGCTGCGAGTCTGACTAGCTCCTACGCTCCTACAGTCAGCATCTGCGCTGCTCCTGCTCCTACTCCTACCACCGCCGGCCGCCGCATCACCAGCACCCAATACGACGCCGCTTGATGCTTGTCGGCTGTGCTCCGTTCGCCGTGTGGTAACTCCGCTGCTCTGCCTGCTGCTATCTCCCTCGCTGCTCCCCGCGACGACAGGTTTCTTTCCGCGTACCTCATTAGCAGGGGTTACATCAGGTTTGGCGGCGCTTCCGCCGGCCGCGGCAGGTGTTTTCACAGATGTGAGGCCAGGGGGGCGCTGAATGCGGAAAAAGTCGACGATTGAGCTCTGCACCAGGGGGAATTCTGGGACCGCGGGGAAAGGTTTTGGGGAGGCGCAGCGGCGGGAGAGGGGGAAGTCAGGGAGTGAGTAGAGGAGGGAGAGGGGTGGGGAAGGGTTGAGAGGAATGGGTGTGTGAGACTGCGACTTAGCGGGATTCGAGAGCGTGCAAGATAAATGGTAGACGAGTGTGTGATACGGGCGAGTTACTAGTAGAAGGGTTACTCAGTGTACGATGAAGAGAAGGTCAGTGCCGTACCTCTGGCTTCGGTTCGGAACCCGTACCTCTGATTTTGGCTGGGCGGCGGCAGTCTGGGCAGTACCACTGGCCGAGGGGCACGGCGACGAGGATTGGTCGCAGGCACCAGAGGTGGTAACCACGGTTACACCCACGTCCGTCGCACACAAGCATTCCGTCTTCGCCGTCTTCCCGGTCGCACACGTGGCACTTCAAATCGTCCAGCCCAGCGTCTGCAGGCGCCTCAGAGCGGCCGCTTCTGTGAAGTTGCTGCTTCACCTCTCGCACCTTTCCTTCCACCACCACCACCTCCTCCCCAACCCCCTCGTTCTCATCGTCAGAGCCCCCCTCGTCGCTGTTCTCCTCGTTTTCATCGTCGCTGTCCTCCTCGTCGTCCTGCGACGATCTGTCTTCTCTGATCGCATCCAGGCCGTGACACTCAGTAACATCGTCCGCATCTTCGTACAGCTCGTCGTCGTCTTCGGCAAGATCCACCACTCGCGGTTCTCCGGCGTCGTTTGCGGATCCACGGTTGCTCCTACTCGCCCTCTCACGTGCCTCTGAAGCGGGCTTGAATGTCCATGTCGTCTTGTCGCCAAGCCCTCCTCTCTCTATAGCTAGTCGTGTCTGTGCGATTCCGCGTCCGGCGCCATTCCCGTTGCGAATTTCGCTTAATTTCGCGGGAATGCTGCCTGACGAGTTCCTAAGATCTGTCTGTTTCTTGGCTACGTGGCTTAAAGCCCGAGCAGACAACGGTTTCGTGACGGTAAGCAGCGAGTGAATGTCGACGCATTTCTTCTTCCTCGCGCCGTCGACGTTCGCGAAGGTGATGTTGCCAGCATGGCCTCGCTTGTTGCCAGTCACCGCCATTTCGCTGCTGGCCTGAATTATTAAAAAACCATCGAGAGCAGTGTAATTCGACTCGGCAAGCACTAGATGAGATACAATAGGACAAACGCGAGAACAAGCAATAGCTGCTCGCAATGCGTTGGTAGTTGGTCTAGGAGACGAGGCTGGAGAAAACCACCCCGTATTTGCTGCCGGACAAGCCTATTTCACCAACTACTAGCTTAGAAAGGCTCACAAAGAAGAAATGAGGAAGAATGGCTACTTCGAGGCCAACGTTCGAAGTTCATACGATGCATGAAGGGGTATGCCCACGAGCATGGATGGTAAAACATGGAGGGCTGGCAGGCAGCGAGCAATTTTCCAGGAGCCCAGAGAGTTGCCAAATGCCGATCCATCCCATCCCAAGGGGCTCTCAACAAGCTGAAAAGTGCCCCCCCATTTCCGCGCCAAACCAGCAAACTCCCCGCCGGAGTGTTTTGTGTGGGCCGCTGTCCAGATGGGATGGGACCTGCGTGACAGTCTCAGCGTGGGGGCGATTCGATGTGGTTGCGGCGGCGTGCCAGCTTCCCTCTACGCTTGCGCCAAATATTTGCGCGTGCCACTACACAACGGCCTCCCATCAACATTCAGCCGTTGATAGGGTAAAGGAAGTCGTATAGAACGTCTGGTGCCGATCACGGACAATTACAGTACAATACAAAAAGCACTGATAGCGCGTATTGAAGCAGTCCACCCACAGCTGCGTTGTCTCATCATCCACGTGGCAGCTTCTGACAGTTCCTCCGACACCTCCCCATCCATGACATGGCATCCAGGGATTCGGGCTCCAGTAAAGTTGGTGAGGATAGCGCCTCCTTGGCGATTGCGATTGTATGAACTCGAGGAACCAGCTTGAAACGAGTATCCTTCTGTCATCACCGTAGCGAGTGGCCAGGAGAGATTTGACTAGGCAGTAAGCAGCCGGGAGAATCCGAAGGCAGGAAGCTTTGTGCCTTTCCACCATACTGTATGGTTTTTACAACGCACTAAATAGTTTCGCACCGTACTAAAGCTGTTCACCCAGCAAGGAATTGTAATTTCACAGCCTTTTTATCTGGTTCATCGCTCATTTCTCCGCCTCTCTCCTTGTTTCGCCTAGCGAACATCACCTGGTTGCTGTTGGGAACGGTATCACTCCGATAAGTCACGCTACGGTACTCTGTAGTTCCCTAACAGGCTAAAGAATATTCCGTTCCTTGACCGTCTCTTTTAGCTTCTATTGGAAGGGCAGTTGACAGGCATGGAGTCGCTCCTCCTAAAAGGAAGCACAACGCGGCCGCTTCCAAGCTTTCAAGGCCTTCGTGCCACGCAAACACCTTTCCGCCAGAGCTTTTCCGCCACGTCGTTGCCAGCTCAGCAATGGAGCAGCGCGTCGAGCAAAACCCTAGTGCGTGCAGCAGCAGCAGAGCAGGCCGATGCTACTCCCAGCAGGAGCTCCGGCGGAAGCGTTTTCGGCCGGGAGGTGGAACTCTCCGGCGTTCCCAGCGTCGTTAAGAGCATGCCGACGCCGGTTAGATACGCCGTTTGCGGCGCGATTATCGTTGGTTCTGCCGGCGTGGGGTTCGCGGCCGGCAGCAAGTTTCAGCCGCCTGTGGGACAGGTCGCTGGTGCCGTGGTGCTCGGCGCGCTTGGCGCGGGAGCCGCGCACGTGGTGAACTCTGCTAGTAAGGAGGTCGCTGCGGCGGATTTGCACAACACGCTTGTGCGTTTATCGGATCCGCTTCAACTGAGACGAGGCGAGGCTGCGGATATCGCAAATAAGTGAGCTGGGATTTGAAGCGTCTTTTCTGTTTTTATCCAATCCGTCGTACCTTTTATTGCGAAACAATGTCCATTTACTGTACATGGTTTCTATGAATCAATGTAAACATTTCTCAACATTTCACACTTCGTTGCTTTGTTCGTCTCCGTGTGTTTGCAGGTATGGCGTGAGCCTGGAGGACGAGAGGTACCGGGCGGAAATGAAGGATCTTTACGAAAAGTAAGCATCCCCTTTCCTCACTCCTTCCCACCTTTTCCCCACTTGGCTGACCCCCTCCTTCCCTTCCCCTTGTCCGTTTTTTCTCACAACATCACAAATTGAGACTCACGGGAACAAATTGTACTAATACGGAGGTTTCTGGGGCCCATGTTGTGTGATTTTTCATTCACTGAGACGCGTTCCGGCCCTCACTTCTCTTTCCCTCCCCCTCTCCCGGCGCTCCAGATTTGTTTCGTCCGTGATTCCGCCCGGCAACGAGCCGCTGAGGGGCGACGAGTCGGATCTGATTTCCCGCTTTAAGGCTTCGATGGGCCTCGAGGACGAGGATGCTGCTGCCGCTCATATCGAGGTACGCGACTGCGTATACCGAGTACATTGCTGTTCTCTTACCGATTATATATCAACTGTGTATAACGAGGTATGCCGCCTGCACTGTTTATGTCGAGCTGCTAACATTGTTCGTATCAAGTTAACAGTGCTTTCTTGTAACGAGCTCACACCGCTGCTCATATCGATCTAACAGCACTATTCAGATCGAGCTAACAGCATATCGAGCCGACGTTGTCCTTATCCAGCTAACATCACTGTTCGTGGCAATCCAACGGTGCTCTGCGCATGCATCAAGTACAGCCACGGCATCGCACGCCGATAGCCGCTCGTGCGTGTGTTTAGACTCAAGGCCCGTGCGCTTGTGTGTGAACATGTGCGTGTGTGTTTCCATGTTACCGTGTGCATGGTGCGTGTGTGTGCGTGTGCATGTATGCATGTGTGCGTGTGCATGTGCGCATGTGTGCGTGTGCATGTATGCATTTGTGCGTGTGTGTACATGCGTGTGAGAATGTATGCGCGTGGGTGCATGGTGTCTGCAGGTGGGGCGACGCATTTTCCGCCAGAGGCTGGAGACGGGCGACAAGGAGGCCGCCTTCGAGGAGCGACAGGTAGGCGAAGGGTCGCGAGGTGGGCGAAGGATTTCGAGATGGGCGAAGGATTGCGAGGCGGGCGAAGGGTTGATAGACAGGCGAAGGATTGAGAGGTGGGCGGAGGAACGAGGGGTGGGCGAAGGAGCGAGAGGCTTTGCGGAGGAGCAAGTGGCCTTGTAGGACTGGAAGCGGTACGCTCGTAGGCTTGTTAGCGGGTGGATGGTAGGTGGCGAGTAGGTGGCATCGCGGAGAGGTGGTTGACATGTGATTGTACGTGAGTACTCGCTTGTGGTGAAGGTTCACTTATGGGATGATTGATACTTCAAGTTTAGATTCAGATGGATGAGGCATGTGAGGGTTCGGGGTTTAAGCATTAAACTATGTTCCAGCACCACCTTCAGAGCTTCGGTCGCGCCTGCCCACGCCTCTTCCCTTCCCCTAACCCCCTTCCCGTTCCCATCGTCCTCGCTTCATCATGATCACTGCCCTTCGGTAGCTAGTGTTTTGCGAATCCAATTTCCTGCTGCAGTCTATGCGCCTAATTCCCCCTCCTCCCCATTCCGCTCCCCCTTCTCTCCTCTCTCTCCTCCGTCACTCCCTTCCTCCCTCTCACTGCCTCTTCCATGCGACTGCAGGCGTT